TTAGGTAAGCAGGACTTAGGAACAAAAATGCCCAACATGCTGGTGCTTGACAAATCCAAGAAAGCAAATTACTAGAATAGGGATGAGGCTGCTGGGGAAACTGGTGATTGCTTTGCCCCCCAAATAGGTTTAGATCAGCATTTTATACCTTAGGCAATAAGACTCCAGACTGATGTCATGTAAACATAAGAAATAGTACTATCAAAATGCCAGGAGCATAAAAGGTTAGATCTTTCCTGATTATGAGAAATAATTAAATAATCTTAGATACAATATTTATCATATATTTATATGATATATTGCTTATTAATGACATTTATAATATTATCTATATTTTACATGCTTATTGTTTATAATATTTCTATATAAGTAATTATTTTCTAATTATAAGAAAATAGATAGAGGCCAGGCACAGGGTATAGTGGACAGAGGAGCAGCCTCATAACCAGGAAGAACTGGGTTTCAAAGCTATCCTCTGACACATACCAGCTCTGTGACCCTGCATAAGGACTTTCACTTCTTAGGTCTCTAGGAAAGTCTCTAAGGCTATAAACTGCAGAGAAGTTGCTGACCTGCATTAGTGGAGGGCATTTCCTCCTCCAGGAGTTCCCCATACTAATGAAATTACAGTTCTAGTCCCTATCCCTAATAATGGATAAGGGGAAAATACACAACTAGAGAAGGTATGGGAGGAATAATAAAGAATTGACAGTCTTCATTACAGTATTTTAAATTAGAAAAACTTTTGAACAAATATAATCAATGCAGCTAGAGTCAGAAGAAGCTATACAAAGTGGGGAAAATTCATTTAAAAACTCTGACAAAAGCTTGACATCCAAAATCTATAGGGAATTAGCATAAACATAGAAGATAAAAACCATTCTCCAATAAAGGATATGAATAGGTTGGGATTTTTTTTTTGTTTTTTGAGGCAATTAGGATTAAGTGACTTACACAGGATCACACAGCTAGTAAGTATCCAAGGTCACATTTGAACTCAGGTCCTCCTGACTCCAAAGGCCAGTGCTCTATCCACTGTGCCATCTTGCTGTCCTGATATAAATAGTTTTCAAAAGAGGCAACTGGTAGCACAGTAGATAGAGTGCTGGACCTGGAACTGGGAAGACCTCAGCTCAAATCCAGTCTTAGATGCTTATTAGCTGTGTGACCCTGAGCAAGTCACTTAACTTCTGTTTGCCTCAGTTTCCTCAACTGTAAAATGGAGATCATAACAGCACTTACCTCCTAAGCTTGTTTTGAGGATCAAATGAGACATTTATAAAGTGCTTAGAACAGCACCTAACATGTAGTAGAAGCTATATAAATGCTAGCTATTATTATTCATTATTATTATTATTTCTACCACCACCACCACCACCACCACTAGTACTACTATTACTACTACTTACAAATAACAGTAACCACTTTTTTTGAAAACCTTAAAAAGTGGGAAAACTCATTTTTGGAGGGACCCTTAGTGATCTCATGAGCTCTTATGGGTTTAATTACCATCTCTATGCTGATGACTTTGAGATCTAAATATCCGGTCCTAGTCTCTCCTTTGAACAAATATTATCGCATTTGATCCTCACAACAATAGTCTTGCATCACCAATGGGCTTTTGAACCTCTCAAATGGGATGTCCTGTAGGCACCTCAAAATCAATATGTCCAAAACACACTGATTTGCTGCTGGTAAAACTGAATTAGCTTAAAAACCGTGGGAAACAATTTGGAATTATGCAGGAAGTGTTACTAAATTGTTCATATCCTTTAACCCAGAGATTCCATTGTCATCCCAATGAGATTATTTACAGAAACTTTACATGCACAAGAATGTTCAGAGCAGCATTAGGGAAGAGAATAAACATTGAAATAGTGGCTACTATGTGCTATGCACATAGTTTTTTACAAATATTATCTCATTTGATCCTTACAACAACTCTGGGAGGTAGTTGCTATTGTTATCCCCATTTTACAGTTGGGGAAACTGAGGAAGTCAGAGATTAAGTAGTTTGCATAGGGTCACACAGTTAGTATCCGAGACTGGATTGAACTCAGTTCTTCCTGACTTCAGGCCTTATCCACTGTGCCACCTAGCTGTATGATTTGTGATAATAAAAAAGTTGCTATGGTAAAGGACTAACCGATCTCTGCAAGGCCCCAGAACATTTCCTAGGCTTTTCCCCATCGAGGCTGTTGTTGTTCATAACGCATTCTCAAAGAGGACCAATGATATCATGAGGGTGCTGCCTTGACTTGCTCATGAATTGGACTTAAGTGAGGCAGAGCTACATGAAGTCATCAGCCTCACTCTCTCCTCTGGAGTCATAGGGGTCCAATGGCAAGACAGAAGTGAAGACAACATGACGCTTACTAGCTGTGTGACCCTGGGCAAGTCACTTAACCCTCATTGTCTCATTTTTTAAAAAAAGGCAGAAAAAAAGAATTAAAAAAAAGTGAAGATGGCTGGTGATGACTTGGAATGCAAGGGGTGATCACCACTGTTGTAGCCCCAAGTATATACCACAAGTATAAGTGAGCTGGCAGAGGGAAAAATGACAGGATGCTTGGACGAGGTCTATATCCAAGCAACGTGGAAGTCAGGGAGGTGCAAAGTGGCTCTATCCATTCCTGCTGTAGGGATTAAAACTGTACTTCTCCATCTTCTCTGTCACTTTGTTTTTTAATTCTTTCACTCTCCCAGGAGAGCGTTGATCCTCAATCCTTGCTTCTTAAGAATTTGCTTTGGTTTCTATTTGGCTGTTATTTTAAGATTGTCTTCTCTAAGGTAGTCATTCATTGAATTACTTTAAGTAATTCAATTATTTAAGCAATCCAAACAAAGTCAGGGCAGCTAGGTGGCACAGTGGATAGAGTGCCAGGTCTAGAGTCAGAAAGAGCTGAGTTCAAATCTGGCCTCAGACCCTCCCAAGCTGTGTAACCCTAGGCAAGTCACTTAACCTTGTTTGCCTCAGTTTCTTCATCTGTAAAATGAGCTGGAGAAGGAAATGACAAATCACTCTAGTATCTTTGCCAAGAAAACCCCAAAAGGGGTCACAAAAAGTCAGACTCAAATGACTCAACAATGACAACAAATAAGGTCATTCATTGAATTACTAATTTGTGTGTGTCTCCTTGAGGTAAATACATCTGAAAGAGGCTATACACAGTAAAGAATACATGGTAAGAAATTTTTTCATATTGGCTTTGTGACCATCATTTCCCTTAGGACAGCTAGTCATGTCACTGACTGGAGCGGGCAGAAATGAGCTGAGGCTTCAAACTTTAGCTCAGGTAATTAGTTAGTGCTAGAAGTTCTGGCTCAGTTTTATTATCCCCATTTACCTAAGCTGAGACATCAGCTACATCCCTGTTGCTGTCTGGTTAGCTCCTGCTTTGTCAGTTCACAAAATTTCAGCTTGATTTCAGTTCTGGTGTTTACAGATCAATTTGTTATTTTATCTGATGTGGCTCTTCTCCCTCTGTGGTCAGTTCTTTGATGTATAAATCTTTACCTTCCCCTTTGCCAGTGAAATTCCAACTGTACCCATTCTGTTGATGTAGGTAAAGAGTATATAAGATTGCTGAAAATGTTATTCAGGACCCGGTGATTTTTGCATATAGGGGGGCTGTGCTTTGAACATATAATAGACCAGTATTAAAATGTCTCTGCATGTTGATAAGTATGATTGGCAGCAGCACTTATCAATGAATACCTGAATTTTTTATCTTAAGAAATAGATTTTCTGAGGGAGCTAGGTGGTGCGGTGGATAGAGCACCAGCCCTGAAGTCAGGAGGACCTGAGTTTAAATCCGGCCTCAGACCAAACACTTGACACTTACTAGCTAGCTGTGTGACCTTGGGCAAGTCACTTAACCCCAACTGCCTAAAAAAAGAAAGAAATAGATTTTCTACTATAATATCTATCCATCACATAGAGAGGGAGATTCTTTGCCAAACTGCTGGAATTTTACTGGCTCACGATGAACAAATAATACGTGTCGATTTACTTTACGTATCTATAGCCTCCCAAAAGCAAAGAAAAGGAAGACCTGGATTCCCTAAGGCAAGAGAGTCAGCAGTTAGTAGGGGGAGATTTGTAAAGGATCTAGAGTAGACTTTCTGAGGCAGTTTTCTCAGGTACCTCATATTCCCATTGTTTTTCCCAAGCAGATTCAAAAGAAAAGATATCCCTTCCTCTCCCTCCAACTTTATGCAGCTGAGGGTGTTGACTAGAGTAAAAAATTGACCCTAATTTGGGAAAAGCTGGGAAAGAGTGGTACCACTCACAAGAGGATGGAAACCAATTAAAAGTAACTAACTGCTCACCAACCAAGCACCTTCTATATCTACACAACTGCTAGGCATGCATAGCGTTTCACACATCACAAGACCTTTACATATTTATGATCCTTCCAGAATTTCACTACAGCTCCATGAGAAGGCAGAGCAGTGTGCCTACTATTTGACAGATGAGGGCTATGTGATGCAGTGGAAAGGGGTTTGGATTGGGAGTCAAAGGACCTGGGTTCAAATCTTACCTCTGACACATATTGGCTGTGACTGACTCTTGGCAAATCACTCAGCTTTTCAGTGGCCCTAGGGAATTCTAAGACTAAGTTGCAGAATAACTAAGGATCTGTGTTTATGGAGGGAATTTTTTCATTGGGAGTTTCCTACGTCCAATGAAACCAAAGGTCTGAACAAAAAAAAAATGAGAGTTGAGTTGAAAGACCTCAGAGGTCCCAGGCTCTAAATGTGTAGTTCTGAAGTGGGTTGCAAGGTCCCATAGTGATGGTGACGGCCCTCGGCTTAGTACCAGGTCTTCTCTCTTCCAGCCCAAAAATATGTTTCCCTTCGCCAGCCTTAACGTGTTCCAGATGGATGTAAAATTCTCCTGTCTCTAGAATCCTCCAGGGTACAGGATCCACAGATTTCCCAGCCAGTCATGCCCACTGTGATGGAACCAGGGCAGGCTGGAGGAAGAGAGATGATGCTCTTACCTGTTGCATGATGTCCCGCTTCTGGTTCATGGTGGCCAAGTAGCGCAGAATCAGCTTTGTGGCCTCAGTCTTTCCTGACCCGCTTTCCCCACTAGATCAAAGACAGAGAAAAGATGCCCAAGTGGAGAGGGGAATCAGAGGGTCAGGAATGGAAACTGGCTCATTCCTAATAAAGAGGAAGAACAAAACTGACTCCATCATGGAGCAACCTTAACAATCTGGAACCTATGGGACACATATGTTCTTATGAAATTATGACACTTATGATACCACATTGGACCTGGAGTTAGGAGGACCTAAGTTCAAATCTGGCCTCAGACACTTATTAATTGTGTGAATCTGGGCAAGTAACAACCTCTGTTTGCCTCAGTTTCCTTATCTGTAATATGGAAATAATAATAGTCCCTACCTCCCCGGGTTGTGGTGAGGATCAGATAAGATAAAAATTGTAAAGCATTTAGCACAATACCTGGGACATAGTAAGCACTATTTAAATGTTAGCTATTATTATTATTCCTCACCTATAAAACAAGGATAATCGTAGCACTTATCTCCTAGGGCTGTTGTGAGGATCAAATCAGATAATAATTATAAAGTGCCTGGCACACAGTAGGTATTATATAACTCTTAGCTATTATTATGATAATTATTATTATCTATTAAATATATCACAGCTTGAGAATGTAAACTTAGAACCCACAAAATGTCATCACACCCTTGACATTTTCCACTTTTGTTTGATCCATTTACCCCTTTAAATCTATAAAAATGTAAAGCTTTGTTGTGCAGAATTGGAGCAGTGCTCAAAGCAATATGACTCGGTTTTTTCTTGTTCAAACAAGTAAAATCTGTTGTCTTATGTGACTTTCACTGGGTCTGATGGTTTTTTAGGTACTATATTTGTTTCCCAGGAATCCTAGTTTTGGAAGCATACAACCCCAGACATAGGCACAATCTGTGGAGTAAGAGGGTGAGGATCAGAGGAAATAGGACAAATACAGACACTGAGTGACGTGTCCAAAGTCACATAATAATTTGGAAACTAAAACTCAGAAACCTATATTTGACTTTCTTTATAAACTAGACAAATGACAGGCCCATCTGGAAGCTCAGAAATAGGGACTGGGCTTGGAGAACACCCCAACACACCCCATTCTCCACTTTCCTGGGGCTCTTCCTCTCACCTGATGATAATACACTGGTTGTGTTTAGCATCCAGCATTTTGGTGTAAGCAAGGTTCGCCGTCGCAAACAGGTGCCTGCAAAGGACAAATCATTTTCACTTTAGCCCTTTTGGAAGCATGGATTCTGACAAATTTCCAGGGTAAGGAAGGTGCATGATTGTGTTGGGATAGGAGTAGGGAAGGCAAAGGGGTGAGAGTGTGGGACAAAAGGACAAGGGGGAAGGAAGACTCCAGTGTCCTCTGCTTCCATGAATGAAACCATCTCAGGAATATGTATCTTCTCTACCTAAGGAGCTTCCTGGAAAGAAATATCACCATCTTTCAATTAGGGCCAAATCTAAACCATATCAGGAATATGGAGGTCTCTCCTCTACCTAAGGGGCTTCCTGGGAGGAAATATCACCTTCCAATCAGGGTCATGAGCACATCATTTGGAGAAGGGGAATGGTGTCCTCTTCTTAGCCACTTCAAATTGGGCTGCAAGGGACCAGACCATAGGATCTAGATGCTCAGGCCACAGCTCTTCCCTCCTTCCCAAAGTGACTGATTGCCATCTGGGTTAGGGTGTCCCAACGGGACAGCTCAGAAGCCCTTTCTCATGTCTAGATTTTCCTGGCTCTAATTTTAGTCCATTTCCTCTCATTTTTAGGACTACCGATGTGACTTGGTCAGCCAGACAGTTGACAGCAACAATCAGACTTACTATGCACTCAGAACAACACTTGCTCCTACCAGGACCTACATAGATGCCCACGCTGTTGGGGCCACTTTAAGAATCAGAAGAGTGGAACCAGTGGTTTCAGGGGCTGGGCAGACCCTTTAAACTCAGCTGCACTTGCAATGTCTCCACCCCAGAGTTTTGCTTCCAGGAACCCCCTTTCTGGCCACTTGACTTATGTCTCCATGACCACATGACCTGCTGCCCATTCCTAGCTTTTTTCCTTTCTCCTTGGCTCTTTGTGTTGGCATCACCTGTCCCTTTCACATGTTGGACCTGGCTTCCTGTACAGATTCAGTATTAGACTTTGCATCACCTATAGATTTTTTTCTTTCTCTACTCTCCCTTCCCCTGCTTCCCCAAACCCAACCCTGACAGACTCCCTTGAGAAAAGAGTTTGAGTCACAGGAACTGAGTTCAAATTTTACCTCTGCCACTCATCTATATATCCTAAGGCAAGTCACTTTCCTTACCTATAAAGTGAGAAGACTGAGCTAACTGGGCTCTGGGGTCCTTCCTAGCTACAGTGACCCCAAGATTCCAGTTTGGTTGCCCTCTGACTGCAACCTGGCATTATCTATGGTAGCCCAAGGGAACATTGTGGAGACTGTAAAAGCCTGATGTGTTAACTTAGTGAGCGTGTACACAATAGCCTAGAACAGCTGTCTCTATAAAGCCCCAGAAAGGACCCTTATTGTTATTGTTGGGGTTGTTGTTTGTCCTTTGTTTGACCATGACATCAGGGAGGCAATGTCTTGACATGCAAGTGAATTGGATTTAAGTGAGGCAGGGCTGTGCAAAGTCACCAACCTCACTTTCTCCTCTGGAGCCATCTGGGTCCAGTGGCCAGATATAGATCAGGATGACTGGAGATGGCCCTGGATGCAGTGGGAGGCCTTTTTAAGCTCAGGTCTTTCCCAGGTCTCAGTCTGACTGAGGCAGCACCCATTCAGTGACTAAGGTTAGGTAAGAAATGAGGCAAAGAATGGTCTCTTTTACCTAGTCAAAAAAATTCATCTGGGAGGGGAAGACTCTCAGGGTTTCTGGCCAAAACAGAAACAATTGCTATTTACATTCATTCCGAGCCAATCGGGGCCCAAACAATGACCAAGTAGGGCTTGGGTGGGACCTATTGTTGGCCAATCAATGAGAGCCATTTTTTATATAATATTTTATATAATTGATAACCTTATGACACAGTGCAAATTATTTTCCCTATTTGACATATGAAGAAACAGTCTGAGAGAGGTTTTAAGTGACTTATCCATGAATGAATGAATGAATGAATGAGGCATTTATTAAGAGCTTATCAGATGCAGAACACTATGATAGACAGTGGGGATGCAAATAGAAAAGTATGGTCACATAACTAGTGTCAGAGCCAAGATTAGCTGTCTTCTCAACACCACTGATATTTTTCTAGACTAACAAATCTGGATGTGGATGCTCTGAATGCAGACTTTTCTGGGAGATTGGAGATGCCATCCCAACATATTGTGAGTGTGTGAATTCTTCATTGCTGGGGCTTACATGTTGTCTCTGCCCTTGGAGCAGTGACCTTCCCTCTCAGGTTCCCACTTATGGATGCATGGGTGTGGGGATAGTAGGATTTGAAAGCAGCTCCTCTCAAGTCAAGTTATCCAACATGGGGGACCTGGATTGGAGGCAGAGGCCAGTGATCTTAACTGGCTAACACATTAACCTATTTCTTAGGCACATACTCAAGTTTCACAAGGCTGAGTTCTTCATCTCCATTAAAAAGAAAAGCAATTCAGGACTCCCACTGTCCCTTATTAGCCCCACAGATTTTCCTTTCTCTTCAGGATATTCTAATAATTCATGCTTTTTGATCTGGCATTCCCCCATCTTTGCTTTTTTTAAAAAAATTCTCTTTGTTCTTCAGGTCCCAGCTCAAGTCCAAAACCCTCCTTCCTCCAATATTTCAGTTTACACTGATGCTACTGATCTCCTTTCTTTATGCTGTCACATTACTCAATGGTAGGTCTGCACAATTCAGCCCTAAATATTATGTTTCCCACATGTCAGATGTGTGTTTCCAGGTAGACCATGGGATCCTTGAAAGCAGAGACTGTGCCTTCGTTTCCTCCTGTGTCTCCCACAGCATAGCCTAGCACACAAAGGGCTAGGGAGGTAGGAGGTATTCAGTCACCTTAAATTGCTAACTCTAACCAGGAGTTCTTAACCTGAGATCCATGAACTTAGCTTTTTAAAAATATTTTTATATTTAAATTTAAAATAATAATACAAATTTAAATAATACAAATTATAAATAAAATAATTGTAAATATATGTAATCTATTTTAAAATATTTATATTTTGATAACTGTATTTCAATATAATTGGTTTATTGTGTAAATAGGCATCATGGATAGAGCACCAGGCCTGGAGTTAGGAAGATCTGAATTCAAATCTAGTCTCAGACTAGCCGTGTGATGCTGGGCAAATCATTTAACCTCTGTCTGCCTCAATTTCCTCAACTGTAAAATGGGATAATAACAGCACCAACCTCTCAGGGTTGTTGTGAGGACCAAATTAAATAATATTTGTTAAAAGCATTTAGCACAGTGCCTGCCACATAGTAGATGCTATATAAATGCTTATTCCCTTCCCTAGTCCTATGTATTTTGTTTTATGCATTTAAAAACATGAGTCAGAGAAAGGATCCATAGCCTTCACTAGACTACCAAAGGGGTCTGTGACACAAAAAGGGTTAATAACTCCTGCCCTGAACCCTTGCGAGAGGCCAATCAGGAAGGATTCTGGAGAGTTGGAAAAGAGAAGCCCAAATGACCAGTCCCAGCCTCCCCCCACCATCAGGGGTCAGAAGACACTCACGGTGGATTCTCCCCCAGAGCTCGCCCTTTGTACTGCAACACCTGCTCCATCCCATAGATGTTAAACATTCGGTAAGGGTTCACAGACACGAGGATGCTGCCAATGTAGGTCTGCAACAAAGAGAGGCTGGCCTAGGATAACTGTGATGTTGTGGAAAGTACCAGAATAGGTATTCAGGAACCTGGGTTCAGACATCTATCTGGTACTGGTAGGACTGCCATATTTTGGCATATAACCGATGCACAACATTACCAAAGGATATGCAGATTCTCCTGCCTTGGGTCCTGTGACTCCTGAAGTGAGAGTTGAGGGAAAAGGGAAAATGGGGAAGAGAAAGAGTGGTAGGAAAGGAGAGAAGAAATGGGGAAGGAGAAAGAGAAAGAAGGGAAGAAAAGAAGATAAAGGGAGTAAGAAAGGGTAAAAGAGTAAGTAGGGGCAAGGGGGAAGGAGGAAGGGAAGAAGAAGGAGAAAGAGGGAAGGAGAAAGTAGGGAGGAATAAAAGATAAGGAGGAAGTGGGGACAAAGGAGAAGGAAGAGGAAGAAGGGAGGAAGAGGGAGAAAAGTAGGAAGTAGAGGGAGGGAGGAATAAGGAGAAAAGGGAAAGGAGGGAGAAAGGAGAAGGGAGTAAGGAAGGATAAGGGAGGAAAGAGGAGAAAAAAAGATAAAAGGTAAGGAGAAAATGATGGTAAAGGGGAAGAAGTGGCAGAAGGGAGGAAGAGGGAGGAAGGAGAGAAGAAGGAATAAGCAGGAAAGCAGAAGAGGGGAGAATGGAAGAGGAACAAATAAGGAGGAAGTGGGGGGAAGGAGGAAGGGAAGAGGAGGGAGAAAGGGAAGAGGAAAGAATAAGGAAGGAATAAGGAGGATGGGAGGAAGGGAGGAAGAGGGGAGAAGGGAGGAAGAAAAGGGTAAGGAAAGAAGAAGAGGAAAGGGAAGGAAAAAAGGTAAGAAAGAAGTAGGGGCAAGAAGAAAAGACAAAGGAGAGGAAGGGAAGAAGAGGGGGAAAGATAGGTGGAGAGAGCAGGGGAAGAGGAAGGAGGAAGGGAAGAATAAGGAGGAAGGGGGAAACAGGAGGGAGGAAGAAAGAATAAGGAGGGAGAATGGAGGAAGAAGGGCTAAAAGAGAAAGGAAAAACCTAAAGAAATAAATGATGTGCAATCAGTGTGAGAAACTCAAACCGTCCTTTCCTCCCACTCCAATCAGGAAAGGATAAACATTCCTCCATCTCCCCAGGCTGTTGCTTTCTGCCTCAGCTTGGGGTGAGCGAGGAAGAGCCCATCTTCCTGAGAACAACTTTGGACATGGAACTTGAGCAACAAGACAGGGGGACCTTACATAGATGAGGTTTCTTTCAAATCTGGTTTTCAGATTGGACAACACGGCAGACTCTTGCAAGTCCCTGAAAAGTTAGAGGAGAGAGAGATGGTCAGGATGAGGTGACATTAAGCATTAGTCTGGCTTACTGATTCTGGAATCTAGACTCCCTTCTTCTGTCTGCCCTCCCAAAGTGAATAACTCCACCACCTCCCATCTGTATCACCCTGGTGACTCTGCCTACCACTTCTGCATTTCCAATTTCCCAACTGATCTGCACAGCCCTTTTAGAGAGGCAGAGATTATTTGTTTCATAGATGAGAATGCTGAAATTTACAAAGGTTAAGTGACTATGATCACATAGATACTTAGTGTTAGGGACAAGACTAGGGCTCTGATCTCATTCCCAGCCCTTATATACTTTCCATAATGATGATGAATATAGAATATATAATACATAGGGAGGAAGGGAAGAGAAAGGAGGAAAGAAGGAATGAGGAGAAAAGGGGGGAGGAATATGTAATATATGTATTATATATAATCTTGTCAGTGAAATATATATGTATTATATATATCACATCAGTGAAATATAATAATAGCTAATGTTTATATAGCCTTTTAAATTTTGCAAATCTCTTTACATGATTTAGCTCATTTTACCCTCACAACAACCCTGTGAAATTGGTGCCGTTATTATTTTTGTTTTATAGATGAGGAGACTGAAGTTGAATGAGGTTAAGTAACTTTCTTAAGTAGCTAACAGCTAGTATCTGAGACAGGATTTGAATTCAGGTCTCCCTGACTCCGGGTCCAGTGCCCTATCTGCAACATCACCTAGTTGCCTGGTACTACATTGCACTACATCGTCTCCTTTGTGGTTCCGTTTGTCCACCTCAGAATTCAGAGGCAAGCCTGGTTTAGCAGCTGAGTTCCACAAAGAAGAGCCCTTAGGATGGATGAGCAAGACCATGGACATTGCCAGGGCCCAAAACTTGGGAGCAAATTAATCTCTACTCCCCAAGGAAAAAGAAGATGGCAGAGAAAGAAGTAGCAGAGAGAACAGCCCAGCTAATTCACTTCCTGCAGAATCTCTGGCTTACTCTACGGCTGTTTGTCACATCAGGACTTCATCCTGCCCCTCTAACATTACCTTTCCCTGCTTCCTAATACCCTCTCGTCTCCTGATTCTCCCCTGAATTTAATTTTGTGCATTACCAGCTCTGTTTCACATTGTCCCATCTCATCGCCTGGCCTAAGTGACCTCCTCTCTTGCCAAATCATACTCAAAATTTGATAACAATAATATGATTGTTATTGTTGTTTGTCCTTTTTCAAGGAGGACCAATGACATCACAGGGTAATGTCTTGACTTGCACGTGTTACACAAAGTTGTCAGGCTCACTTTCTTCTTCCTGGGTCATTGACGTCCAGTGGCAAGACAAAAGTCAAGACGACTGGAGATGGCCCAGGATACAGTCAATGACTTTGGTGTCTTTGATGTCTGACCAAGCTCTAAGCGCTCCACAGAGCCTCCTTCATCTGCCTTCACGGCTGTTGGAACAAATTGTTCTCATCTGCCCATTCCACCAGGAGAAGTCTTCACATGCTTGGGGTAGATAACCTCCTAACTCACCAATGGGTTTGAGTAACAAGGTTACCAAGTAACAGCTAACATTAATATGAACATTCCTGTCCCAATGTCCATTGGTAAAGGGCTCTCTCCTCATTGGTGGCAATGAATGCCTTGCCCTGTGAAGCATGGGAAGAGTTGGTGGGAAATGGAAGAGCTTCAGTTCTCATCTAGTGAGACAGGTGTTATGATTATTCCCATTTTACAGATGAAAAAAATGAGGCAGAGAGAAATGCTACCTGATAGAGCTAGTATCTGAGGAAGGATTTGAACTCAGGACTTCATAACTCCAAGTCCAGCACTTTATCCACTATGCTATTTCAAGGCCCAGCTCAGGTCTTCTGCTGCCCATGAAGTCTCCCTTAAATACTTCAGCTTATTGAATTCTTACTACTCTCTGATACTACAGTTCCTATCTGTATCACGCAGTCTCACATTTGACTTCCAAGTGTTTTGTGTGTAGGTAAGTTTTGTTTTCCTAACTAGACTGTGTGCAAATTCCTTGAGGAGAGGGGTCATGAATTACCCTTCTTCTCTGTCTCCCCCAAGACCCTTAGTAGATGGTAGTCACTGAACATGTAATTTATAATTGATTAGCAATCAATCTACAAGCATTAATTAAATGTCTCATAAGTGTTGGACACTGTGTTAAATAGTAGGGATGCAAAAGTGGAACTCTTCAAGAAGGAGTGGGTTTGAGAGGAAAGGTCATGAGTTCTTTTTTGGACATGTTGAGTTTGAGATGGGATCTCCAGTCTGAAATGTCCAACAGGCGTGTTCAACATGATGCAGGACTGGGGCTCAGGAGAGAGACTTGGGATAGATATATAGATCTGGGGGTGGGTGGGGGCATTGACCTCCAGCAAGTAGATAATTAAATCCATGGGGAGCTGATGAGATCATCAAGGGAAAGAATGTGGAGAGAAAAGAGAAGAGTGCCCCAACAATGCCTTGGGGGTATAGCCACAGGTAAGGGGCATGACATAGATGAAGATCTAGTATTGGAAACTGAGAAGGAATGATCAGAGAGGTAGGATGAGAATCAGGAAAAGCCAGAGGGTCAACAGGGTCCAATTCTGCAGAGGTTAGAATAGTGAGAATTGAGAAGAGGCATTTAAATTGGACAATTGAAAGATCATTGGTGACTTTGGAGAGATTGGTTCCCGAAGGCAGACTGCAGGGAGTTTAGAAGAGACTGAGAAAGGAGGAGGCACCAAGGTTTTTATGAGAAGTTTGAGAAAGAGAGGCAAACTATAAGATGAAAGCCAATGGAGATAGCAGGATCTAGTGAAGATTTTTAAAGAAGGACCAATTACATCACTTTTCTGAACCTCAGTTTACTCATATGTAATGCCTCATAAGCATTGTTATAAGAAAAGTGCTTGACAAACTTTAGTAGCTTATGTATAAATGAATTGTTAATAATATAGCTATCCAGAGTGGATAGAGCAATGGCCTTGGAGTCAGGAGGACCTGAGTTCAAATCTTGCCTCGGACATTTGACATTTACTAGCTGTGTGACCCTGGGCAAGTCATTTAAGCCCTTGCCTAGTCAAAAAAGCAAAAAAAAAATACAATTATCCCTTTCACATAGTGACTTTCTCCATCACAGTTTCCATATGTTGTGAGTTGGCAGGGGAAATTAAATGGGAATTTTGAGGAGTTTTGCTGAAGCTGCAGATGACACGAGAAGGCCAGCAGATGACACAGAAAAAGTTTAGAAACTCAGAAAACACATACATACATATACATATATATATACACAGTATTTTATGTATATGTATGTATTTTATAGTATTTATGTATAGCATAAAATAGATGTATAGTATTATATAACATCAACAAATTTTATCCTTTAATACCATAATAATTCAGATTTCTTCTCTGGTATAAAGGGTCAAAATTTTTTTTTGAATTTTCCAGATCACAGGGGCGCCATGTTTCTCACCCCTGTAATGTGGAAGGGATAACAGTATTATTATTATTTTGCAAAGTGGAAGGTGTCATGCAAATAGGAGACACAACAATAATGATGATGGTTAGTTAGTCAGCCTTTCACCCCAGATGGCTGACGGGATGTCATACAGAAAAGAGAGCAGACTTGTTCTGTATGGTCCTAGAGCACAGAAATAAGAACAATGGGTGAAATTAGAGGAACACCAATTCCAGTTTAATTTAGTGAAGAAAATTCTGACAGTTGGTGCCATGCCACACACATCAAAATGGCCTGCTTTGTGAGGCAGTGAGTTCTCTGACGCTGAAGGTATTTAAGCAGTGGCTGTCAAAGGTCTTGTAGAAGGAATTCATACTTCACATATGGATTGGACTGGGTCAATCACAAAAGTATAGAATGGTAAGGGACATTGGAAATCATCTATTTCAACCCTCATCTTACAGATGAAGAAACTGAGGTCCAGAGAAGGTAAGCCCAAGATCCCTCTAGGAATTTGGGACAATCAGGATTAGAACCCAGTTCTTTCCATTACAACATGCTGCCTCCCATAATGCCTTCTAAAGTACCTTCTAACTCTACGATTCTAAGATTCTGTGATGTCACTTGAACCCCTCCTATGGAGGCAAAGGACCTTCCTCCCACTCCAGCTGCCTAGGCAGTGGACAAAACTGGAACCAGGGGTAGGCAAGGTGGGTAGCTGTTCAGAGCACATCATCTATGGTATCGATTTTTATTATAATAATAATAACTCAGTCTTTTGGTTTTGTAAAGTATTTTCCTTATAACAATCCTGTGAGGTCAGTAATATATGCAGTACTTTATAGGTGAGAAAATAGACTCAGAAAATATATTCTCCAAGGAGCCTAGGTATTTATTTTGCAAGGGAAATTGCACGTGTTATAGTGAAGCTCCCTAGGGAGAAGAACATTCAAGGGGCAGGATTTTCAAACCTTGAAACCTAGGGTTGTCACCACACCTGACAAGCTCTAATGGCCAGAAGCACCTCCAGCTCCCTCCCCTCTCCCCATCAAAGACTCTCACTCCAGCTGGGTCATGTCTTCCACACCATCTTCCTCCTGCTGTACCCGGTATCTCATGGACGGCAGGTTGCGGATGGAATGCATCTGTGCGGGGGAACAGAGGAGAAGAGCTGAGTTGGGCTGTGGGATGTAAGAGGAGGATGACAATGAGAAGAGAGAGTTAAGAGGGACAGGAATGGCTAGAGTTAGATCTGTTCTCCTCAGAGCTCAAAGCACTGAAATCATAGGTGAATGGTGGGGAGACCTGGCTTCCTGTTTCAGAGAAGGGAAAGTTAAGGCATGAAGCAGGGGAAAACTGTACTAAAATCACTAAGAGAGGCCTGGAACAGAAGCCGGGTCTCCCAGTTCCTGGTGTCAGCCTCTTCTGCCTTGCTCACCCCTGGAGTGGTGGTGGAGGAGGGCAGTGATGCTGGCTCTGGTGGGTGAACCCTGCAGTGGGATCCTTGGGCAAGGCAGAGGAGCTCTCCAGTGCCATCTGCTGGTTGAGTTTGTGTGTGAGTGAGAGACAGAGATGGGAAGAGAGAGAGTTTGAAGGAGAGATGAGAGGAGGCAAAGGGAGGCCTGGCTGAATGCGGGGGAGAGCAGAATATCCTGGAGAGAGTTTTCTGGGAGAACATAGAGGGGCTGAGTGTAGGGGGCCTCAAGAGAGGAGGCCCAGAAACCTTACAAAGCAATTCAGATCACAGAGTGGCAGGAAAGGAGGGCAACAGATGGACTGAGGAGACGTGTCTGCGGGGACCCTCGTCATTCTCATGATGAGGAGACAGAGAAAGGGGCAGATCTCTTAGCCTTCCAAAGTGTTTAAAAATTTTGAAACACACGCACACACACACACCCCCCCTACACACACCCTCCTACCTCACACAACCATACATATTTACACATCACATACACAGATCATGTGTACAAGGAACACATTTGCAAACTCCCTTTACACACAGATTCATTCCCACACATACAAGATGACCATGTATACATGTGCACATACAGTCCCAACATGCAATGTCATGTGCACATTACTCCCTCCACAATCCTTATATTTCATTCACGTGACCTTGACATGCACACAGTATAGACATGTACTCTGGCAGTTTCTTCCCTAGCACACACATGTACACAGTTGCTCCTTACAGACCCCAACTCGTGCCTTGCCCATACAGGGATACTACTGTCACAGCAACCACTCGCCCACAACCAAATAGAGGGAACAGACCAGCCCGAGATCTTTTGTTCTACCACCAGAGTGGGCACCCCCTGTCTGACTGTCCCTATCCCCAGGGTCATGACAATGGGGACTTTCTCAGCAGAAGCTAATGGAGAAGAGTTTTCTTCAATCCTAGGACCAGGGGAGGAGCTATTCCCAGATGTCTCCCTGGTGGTGGCATCAGCGCCTTCCTGACCACGGGCCGGGGAGTGGGTGGAACAACACGAATTTCCCTCCCACCCTCCATTCCTCAGAGGTTGCTCTTGATAAGTAGAACACTGAGGACAGAGAACTGCAAAGGCCTTGGCCACGTGCCAGGAGAACCTTCTCAGCTGCTGCTGTTGCTGCCTAAATAATTCAGCCACTCACGTATTCCAAGGTGATCAGTGCCCACCGTGGGCGCTGCCATGCGTCCTTGCCCCGGGGCCCTGGGCGGTTGGCACATCTCTCTAGAACAGCTGCATCAAACACAGAACGCAGGACCCCGTGACTGGGCGGGTGGCCGCCTTTTGCTGATGTAGCCGGGGCCGCCATTGCACGAGAGCCCTTCCCGGAACCCACCACTCCCGGACATCCGCAGCCCCTGAGCCAGACACCCATCTGTGGGAAGGGAGGCGGCTGATTGGGATAGAAATAAGCTGCCTGCCTCCGCCTCCCCTACTCTTATGGCAGAGGAAGGAATCAGCCCCAGGGGAGGGCTCTGGTGACCATCCCTCCCCCCTGAGTCTAGTCTTGGCTGCCAAGACCTGTCTGCCTAGCTGCTTTATTTCCCAGGCCAGGCCAGGACCACCGGCATCCTTAGTTCTGGCCTCACCAGCAAGGGTGGCCAAGACCATGAGGCTCCTAAAACATGGGGGTCAGGGGGCCTGGTTCTGAAAAGATCCTGTGGATACCCTATCCAGAGAGGACACCTATGAAGTTGTCAGATGGGGCAGCCAAGCTAGGGGAAAGACCCAGGACCATTCTCAGAAGACACAGAGCTTCTGGGCAGTTAGAGCCCAGGCCACCTCCTGTCACAGAGCTAGCTCTGGATAGAGCACTGGTCCTAGAATCAGGAAGATCTGAGTTCAAATCTGGATTCAGATACTTAAGTGCGTGGCCTTGGGCAAGTCATTTAACCTCTATCTGCCTCTGTTTTCTCATCTGTAAAATGGAGATAATAATAGTACCTACCACCCAGTGTTGTGAGGATCAAATAAGATAGTATTTATACAGCACTGTCCCAAATTTAAAGCACTTATAATAATGCTAGCTATCATTATTATTATTATTAATATCATTACACAAAAAGGTGCAAGTTCTCAGACTAGAATGCTCTCTTTTGTTTCTTCTTTGCCCATCCAAATCTCCCCATTCGTTCATGGCTCAGGTTAAATCCAACCTTCTCCATGAAACCTTCCCTGGCCACACCAGCCCTCACTATTCTCCCCATTCCTGAATTTTTATAGCACATGGGACAGGATCTAACAACCTAACACTTGCTTATATTATTCACAGTTCCTTTCATTTTGATGCAGCTGGACAATGCCATCTGAAGGCAGCCACTATGCCTTCTCTTTTTTCCTGTCATTTTTCCTGTCATTTCCTTACATGAATTTCCTTACGTGTCATTTCCTTACATTCCAAACATGTAACAGTAGCAGCAATTCACATTTCTATATCACTTTAAGATTTACAAAACACTCTCTTCACTATCACTTGGGAAGATAGTTAATTAGTGCTGGTATTATCCCCATTTTACAGATGAGAAAACTGAGATTTGGAGGGACCGAAGATGAAAGTCACACCATTAATCAGTTTTAGAACAGAGACTTGAACCCAGGTCTCCTGACTACATGATCAGGAGACTTTCCACACTACTACAATGATGGGCTTTATCAGTCTCAATGGAACTTAAACGCAGAGAGGCTCCTGAGAACTTCCTATTTATAGAATGGCCTCTTGGTTTGGGGAAGAAGCTTCATGTGGAAGCAGGTTAAATAATTTGGGGTTGCCTTCCTAAGGGAGGAAAAGGGAAACAGTTGGAGGGGAGGTTGACTGTTTACTCAGACTAGGCCCCTCCTTCAAGGGGTATGGGTCATCCCTTCCACCCTCAGCCAAAGCCACTTGCCCTCCTCTATAAATACACAGAAAGCTTGTACTTACCTGAGTCTTCCAGCTCACTGGGCCTTCCTTCTCCCAGGGGCCCTTGAAGGCATGGCACTGGAGGGACACTTCACAAGACAGGTAATGGGACAAGGTGCCTGTGGTCACCCTGGGCCATCGTCGATATGTCTCAGTTGACACAGAGACATGCACCCAGCTGGGCTTCTGGGCCTTCGGTAGGCCTTGCGCTGGCCCCATTAGTGGTCTGGTCTGTACCTGCTGGAAGGAGCTCATCTTTTGAACACGAGGCATAACAATTGCAAAGCGTCCAGGCCTCAATGGACCTCGTTCTCCTTTCTCTCGGGCTCCAGCAGGTACTGTGGAAGGCGCCGACTGGACCAGTGATATGGGCAAGGATGCCCACCTGCGTAGGCTGGGCCATGATATACTAGGTGAGGCAGTCAATGGGTAAGAGAAACTACTGTTGAGTGCCTTCCGCCCCTGCATGAGCCCTGGGGAAAACTTCTCAGAGACTCTAGGAGAGAGAGAGATGGAGACCAGAGAGGGCTTGGGGGTGGGTACATCGACGCCTTCCTCTTTTTCAGGCTTCATGGGATCTTCATTTGATGATTTAGACACCTGGCCAGGCCCAGGCTCTTCAAGCCTACCAAGGAGAACATGGGCTGAGTCATTGGCCCTTTTTTGGAAAACAGGTGATGGAGGATGGGCAGGTCCAGGCACAGGGTGACCAACCTGTTGGAAGAAGGGTCTATGAAATGAAGATGGTGGCTGGCGTCTCTTGGAGAAGCCTCGCCGGCTGCCAGTCAGGCCAGGCCATGGCGATGGTGGGCGCTGGATTGGGGGAAGATCCACATCCCAGCTTGGGGCTAGCAGGGGTGGTAACCAGGGTGGCGCCTGCCTGCCTAGCGATCGGCGGCTGTCTTGTCTGGGAGGTACATCAGGCACGGGCCCATCACCACTCCAGGGACCTGGAGGTGGCTGGGGAGGGAGCCGTCGGCGTGATGACCTCTGGAGTGGAAGATGCATCTGGGGCTTTACTGCCTTAATTGGACGCTCACTGAGCCTGTTCCAGGTGTGGGGAGGCTTCCCGGGCAGGTTAAGGGACTGGCGCCTCAGGCTTCGGACAGGTGGGGGGTGAGGGAAGCCTCTGACTCCCACCTCTAGGAGGGAGATGAGGGGACCCTAAGTGAGGGGAATGAGGCCCAAAACGACTGAGCGATGGATTCGGAGAGAGAGGTTCTCTAAGAGATGGATGGCGGCTGGAACCTTTGGCCCCCAGTGGAGGTGAAAAGGGGGGCCTTCTGGGCCTGGGGCTATATATCAATGAAGAAGTGGAATGGATAGATAGCTGTGGGGAAGAGGGCCTCAGTGGGGAGTGAGCCCCTGTGCTATGGAAACTACTGAGGGACGGCTGTGGAGAGGGAGGAAGGGGTCGTGATCCTCTGGGGGATCCCAACAGGTCTCCAGAGGACATTGGTCCCCTCATGGAAGGCCTTGGGAAACCAAGGGGACCTGGTCTCCTCAGGGATGATCGAATTGAAGGAGTAGGAGTTGGTGGCCTGCTTGGGGGTCCCCCAAACCACAGTGGATAAGGATTAGCCTCAGGTTTCTGAAAATTGGATACAGATGGTGGTTCAATGAGACTCCACCAGCTGGACTGCGGCCTGAGGACAGGGTGTCCTGGGGGAGACCAAGGCCTCTGAGGAAGGGAGGACTGTGGCGAGGGTGGTCCTTGGCCGAAGGATCCGTAAGGAGAGGAGCCATAGGGAGAGGAGTGCATAGGCCCTGCTGAAAGGTTCGGTAAGAAGGGCCAGAGGGATGAGCTGACATCTGGGTTCTCGTTCTTCCTCAGGGGAGGTGGGGAGATGAGGACACTCTTCCTGGAAGGTGCTGGGGATGGAGACAGGGGGAGGAACACTCTGTGAGCTGTTGTTAGTTGTAGGGCCGCGGAATTTCCTCAGGGTCACCGGCGTGGCAGGGTTGTCAGGATCCATGCCCGCGAGCTTATAGCCAAAGCGCTTGTAGGCCGCCTCCCTCACAGCTGGTCTCCGGAATGAACCTGTACCTTTTTGGCGGGCACTGCCACCAGATTTGGGGATGGGTTTCTTTTCCGAAAGTGTTTTCTTTATGAATCGGGCAAGTGACGTTGCAGGTGGAGAGGGCCTGCCCAGCTCTCTGTGGAAGCCCAGGTCTCTCCTCATCCTAAAGGCTGACAGGGCTCTCTGGACATTTCGGTCCCGTGGAGACAGGAAGCCAGCATAGAAAGGGTGGAGGTAGGGGGCATAAGGCATAGAGACTGGTGGGCCCTGGTCTTCTTCCTCTTCTTCCTCTTCCTCTTGCTCGTCGGTGGTGAGTGGGATGTCCAGGGAAGGAGGCAGTGGCACATCCAGTTTCTCTTTGCCAAAGATTTTCACCTGGGGTCGGGGGAAGAGTCGGAATTTCCTGATCAAGGACAGTTTGGAGGTGGCTGACTTCTCCATGCCCTGCTGCTCAAAGAAGGATGTGCTGGGTGGCTTGAAGGTATAACCCTTCTGCTCAATGCCTGGCTCCTCTTCTGGTTCTCCCTCTTCCAGCTCCATGATGTCATCCATGGGGTGGGCATAGGGATTATGGGGGGATGGGATGGGAGGTTCCCAAGCATAGTCAAAGGGGGGAACTTCAGGATATGGGAAAGGGGCCTCAGGAGGGTAAATGGCATCAGATCCTCCTGGGTGGTACCCCACCTCATCATAAGGGCTGTAGGGACCCAAGTAATAGTTGTAAGGATATGATGGCTCTTCATAGCCATCATAGTAACTGTAGGGTGAGTACCCAAAAGGTGGAGCATAAGGTGGGGCATAGTCATCATAGCCATAACCATAGCCAAAGCTATAGGGAGGGTAGAGACCATCCCTGTAGTAATCGTTGGCATAGTAATCATCATCATAGTAACCAGGACCATAGAAATCATGGTCATAGTAATCAGTGTCGTAGTATTCATCATCGTAATATTCATAAGGGTCTCGGACAGGGTACCCGTAGTAGTACTCATCATAGTCAGGCCCCTCTGAGCTGTGATAGCCCCAGGGGGAGCGGTACCGATCTTGCTCCTCGTACTGATGGAGCGACTGCCGGTCATAATAATCATCTCCCTCACGGTAGTAATCATAATATTCCCCCAGGTCCTGGAAGCCTTCCAGACCATAGAGTGACTTCCTTGAGCCAGACTGATGGAAGGGTTCTTCTGTCTCAAAGGGAAGGAAGCCGATGGTTTCTCCGGACTCATATAAGCTTCGGCCTCTGGGGAACCTCCTCAGCCTCCCCTCTCGCCTGAGGATGTCAGCCCCAGAAGGGAATGGAAGCTTCTGAGAACCGAAGCGGGAGCTAGAGCGATTCAGCCAGGCATCCAAGGAGGCCTGCTCACTCCCCGACTCTTCCGCCTTTTTGATGAGGAACCTTTTGGTCAACCAGTTGATGGAGGTGGATGCCTTGCTCAGCACCCGAGCTCGGGGCTTTAGCTTTCCTCGGCCTCTCCTGCCGGGGAAACGGATCACCATGAAGGATGGCTTCTTCTCCTTCATTGCCTTCTTCTTCTTGCCCTCCCGCATCTGTGTCATCAACTTGGAGGTGGATTGCAGCACAGTCTTGGCTTTCTTCTTCCTCTTGGTCTTCTGTGGGCCTTTGTTGAGACTCCAGAAGAAGTGTGAGGCACTCCTGAACTGACCTTTCTTAGATATCTTTGGCATCCTATCCCGGAAGCCCATAAAAAGCCTGGAGGTACCCTTGAGGCTTCTTTTGGGTTTCTCTGGTTCAGGGGGCTTCTTCCCCTTCTTCTTCTTCTTCCCCTTGTCTTCCTCCTCATCTTTGGCCATGGTTGCCTCCCCTTCCTAGTCAGGTCTGGCAAAAAGGACACTGGGTTTGAAGCACAGCTCCTAGCACTTGGCCTGGGGCTAAGGAGTGGTCTCAGAGGTCCCTCCACACTCACAGAGGACACTCAGAGTGTAGACAGGAGGTGCAGCCGGGACAGGGACCTGACTGAGCTGAGGAACTTTGCCTGCCTGTGGAGGAGTACACCCTAGGGAGGCTGCCAAGCCTAATCTATACATAATTCATTCCTTGAAGACTTCTCCCCTTCTCTCCCCACCCCCATCCACCTTGTATTTCACCTTCAAACAGGCTTGGAAATAGATGAAGTGTCATTTACTTGGGGAAGAGCTAGAAAGGGTAGCAGTGACCCCAGTCTCATCTTATTCTGACTCCAGTTCTCCTTCCAATCCCCAGGGGACTACTGCTTTGTGGGGTCTCCTATGAGATAAGCAACCTTCCTTGCTATTGAGGACTACTTCTCTAAAATCCTGAAGTTCCTCTTGCCACTACTGAGTAAAGAAATATTCCTTTTTTTGTCTCCCCGGGATATATATAAGATCTCATAGATCAGAATCATGAGTGCATTTCCTAGTATGTATTTGAGGTGGTCTATAGGATTCCCAGAGGCTGGGCAAGACTTTGAAATGGAAGGGGCCAGGGGAAGAAGAGAAAGAAAAGGGAGATGGTCTCAGGACTAAGGAACTGGGTAATTGAATCTCCTTGCGTCATGAGAATGTGAATAATGCAAACAGACAGAACCTCTGTGCCACCAAATGTCTTAGGAGCCCGGACAAGAAAGAAACACGATCCACAAAACTCCAATATGGGCTTTCCTTGCAAATCAGAGAAAGGAGGTATGTTGGGACCCCTTCATTCCTTTATCCTGTACAAAGGATGATTTACGAGACCCTAAATGTGTGTCCCCGACCCAAAATAATCTTCCCATTGGCCACACTCTTCTAGAAACTGGAATTTCCACCAATAATAGTTCCTTAGGAAGGTGAATGAAATATTTCTTTTAGAGATGTTAAGCTCTATGCAAACCTTAAAGCACTATATAAATTCTAGTTATTATTTTAAGGTAACATGCAAATGTAACCTAGTTAAGGCTTTAGGCTAATTGGTTAATTCAAGTATGATAATGACCATAGCCTCACATTCTGACCAGGGAGACTTGTGTTCCTGAGTCTCAGTTTTCTCATTTGTTAAAAGGAAAGGTTTAGACTGAGACATCATTAGGCTTCTTTCAGCCCCATCAAGCTGTAATTCTTACGTGCTAATTTACACTAAGATGTGAGCCACTGATAACAGTTTAGTGTATTGCTTCTGTTTCAAGGAATTTGCATTGTAAAGAAGTGTTCTGAGAAGATAATGCTTATCCCTAAAGAGTAAATCAGGGAAATTATGTGGCACATGGGTAGAGTGCCTGGCCTGCAGCCAGAAAGACTTGAATTCAAATCCAGACTCAGACACTTACTAGCTGGGTGACCCTGGGTAAGTCACTTAATCCTATTTGCCTTAGTTTCCTCATCCATAAAATGAGCTGGAGAAGGAAATGGCAAACCACTCCAGTATCTTCACCAAGAAAAGGTAATGAAGAGTTGGACAGGACTGAACAACAACAAAGAGAAAACCATTCATGGAGGAATTCCTGACCCTGTGACACCTAGTTGGAGGCATTATATTCAAGCAGAGGACTTGTCAGGTACCTCTCAACAGTTTTATTTGGTGTCTATGCTCAATGTTAGCCTTCTTTCTGAAAGTTTAGGTTTTTGTCTTTAAGAGATGAATTTTACATAAAAGAATCTCTCAGTTTTTCCCATTAATATCAGAAGCTCTTTCAAGCTAAGGGGGGAGATGGAAGTCAGTGAAATTGAAGCAAGCCAGGATGGTGGAGCTTATTAATGCATAGGTAATAGAAATAGGCTTTGTATGACTTCACATGTATAATTGATATCACATTGCTTGCCCATGTGCCAGACATTGCACTAAGTACTTTACAAAAATCTCGTTTGATTCTCACAGCAATCCTTTTGGTATGATAAGCCCCATTTTACAGGTGAGCAAGGTAACGTTCTCATGAGGCTTGTATCAGCCTGTCAGAAGATTATAACAGTAATCCAGAAGTTAATTCTTTTGAAGTTGTCGTATTAATGTACACTCCGAGTTTCATGTGTTTAATATGCCTTTTCTGCATAGGAATAAATGACATGTTCCATACATGTTTCCCAGTATATATCAAGTGCCTATTTTATTTCTGCCCCCCCGACCTTTCTTATTTGAGATAACATTAGATGTGAGCCTAAACCTAAGCTTTGAGTAATTTATCCTTGGAACATTGCAGGTTGGGTGGGTAGAGCTGAAGAATGTGAGAATAGGGATCCTAATTCTTCTCTTTACAGAAACTGGCGCAGTCCAAACCTTATGCCTAGATACAAAACAAGGACTGTGATTAACTCTAGCAACAGTTCCTCAGTTTTAGATTTCTCCATCTCTAAGAGGCAAAGGAATCCTGAAATGACCATTTGGCTATCTATGAGGAGTCTGTAAGGAGACAAAGTTTAACTGTAGTTCTGGAGACCAGAGAAGACAGAAAAAGAAACTAAAAGAACTAATCTGCTCAGAGAAGTGGTTTTAACTCTTCTCCTTTCAAGAAACATGAGGAGAATTCTTGAGAAGAGATATTGAGAAAACTGAATGGCAGAACTGTGCTTCCAGAATTTTGAAGTCAGACGTTATAATGATGGTTAATGATGACTATGCTATTTTCACAGTGGACATATTGGACATATTGGAAATTATTATGTGTGCTTTGCCTGGTTTGTTACATTGTTTATAAATAGTATATACAGGAACCTTGATTTGTATTTAAGTGTGGACAATTGGGAGAGGTGGTGTTGATATCTATATCTTCACATCTATGTATATATACACAAATGTATGCACGTATGTATGTATGTATGTATGTATGTATGTATGTATGTATGTATGTAGAGAGAGAAAGAGAGATAGAGACAGAGACATAAAGAAGAGCAACTTATTACAGAAAAAGAGTTTTCTCCAATCTATTAAATAATGTTTCATAAGTTGGAGTAGGGTCTCATATCTAATTGTTTAATTATAAAGACATTGAAATGTTAATAATTAATGTGGAAATATCATAACATACTCGTTGATTACATTAAAATCCAAGTTGAGAACGAATAAAGAAAATGAGCTAGGAGCAGGTAAAGAAAGAGCTAACATCTCACTTAAATTACTTGTGACTGTGGTCAACCATAAATCTCTCTCTGTGATACAAAAAAAAATTATATTAATATATAAAGTATATAGGAATACATTTATAATAACAACAATTAATTATTGGTATATGTTATATAAAGTTATGGATTTATCCATATAAATTATATTATATAATATGTGCATTATTATATAATTTATATGAATTGTGTATACATATACACATATAATTTATATGCTCATCCATATAGATACACCTGTATATACATACACACGTGTGCATAGACATATACATATGTATATTTATATACGTATGGAGGAAAGAAGTGAAAATATTTCCTGCTTCAAGGACCTTACATGATAAGGTGGAAAGAACACATACATATACAGATATGGGGATGGCACTAGCATCTAGGGGGACTAGAAAAGACCTCCTGCAGAAGGTGGCACCTGCACTGCATCTTCAAGGAAGCCAGAGGTTTTAAGAGACAGAACTGAGGAGGGAAAGCATTCCAGGCAAGGGAGCCACTCAGTACAAAGGCACAGAGAAGCAATGGAGAGAGAGAGAGAGAGAGAGAGAGAGAGAGAGAGAGAGAGAGAGAGAGAGAGAGAGAGAGAGAGAGAGAGAGAGAGAGAGAGAGAGAGAAACATTTGGGTGCAAATCATGTGTGAGGAACAGTCTGGGACCATAGAATATGTGGAGAGAGTCATATGTTAGAAGCCTGGAAAGGCAGGAAGGTTCCCAGTTGTGAAGGGTTTTTGAAGACCACAGAGAGAGAGAGATGGAAGTCACTTTAGGAAGATCACTATGGAGGATGGATTAGAGAGGACAGATGAGGCAGGGATACAAATTAGAAAGATTTTGTAATAGTCCAGGTGAGAGGTGAAGTGGGACTTAGCTAGGGTGGTGCACTATGAGTGGAGACAAGAAGCCAGATATGAGAGAAGCTGATGGGCTAGAAATAATAAGATTTAGCAACTGAATGGACACTTGGGATTGGTGAGAATGGGGAGTCAAGAATTTCACCGAAGCCATGACTCTGAGATTGAAAGGATGGTGGTGCTGTCCAACTGTAAAAGGGAAGTTTGAAAGAAAATTGATTTTTTTTTTGGGGGGGGAAGGGAGGACTGCTTTCTCTCCAGTTCAGATGATGAAATTACAGAAGGTAATAGGCAAATAACAGAGACAATGAGATTACAAGATCATAGATTTAGAGCTGGGAGGAATGTTAGAGGCATAAAGTCCAACTCCTTCATTTTATAAATGAGGACACTGAAGCCTAGAAAGGTAAGTGACTTATGTGGTGTCAAATAGCTAAGTATTTTCCTGACTCTCAGTCCTGTTCTTTATACCTTAAAGGAAGTGCAAAGCTACACTTTGTAACTCCTTAATGAACTATGAAGAAGGTTTATAAACAAGTTAGAGGGAATTAGAGGGCAACTAGTTATTAGCTAGGGGCAGCTAGGTGGAGGCAGAGTGCTGGGCCTGCAGTCAGGGGGACCTGAGTTCAAATCCAGCCTCAGACATTTACTAGCTATGGTGACCCTGGGCAAGTCATTTAACCCTGTTTGCCTCAGTTTCCTCATCTGTAAAATGAACTGTAGAAGGATATGGCAAACCCAGAATGCAAGAACCTAAAATGGATTGGTCTTGACTTAGTGGCAAACCTCGAGACAACAGGCAGAGGAATGTGTTTGAACCTACCATGGTGAAAGTTCAGAGTTTGAAATTTGCAACAGAAGCTGCAGTTACAATTCTTCAAAT